TTCGCAGTATACTTCAAGTCTTCAACGTCATGCAACTGTTGCTTCTTTGAACCTCTGCATGGCTCTTTTATATAATAGGTCGGGACACACCTTTTAGACTTTGTTTTGGGTTAAAAACGTCTGCCAATTATATGTTTTAAGAGTCGCGGGAACACATAAAGATCCCGCTAAAGAACGTTTTATAAGCAGCGATATTTACTTTGCACTTCAAAACGTAATTTCCCCGTCATTTTCAGGAGAAAGCCGTAACAGGCGTAATTAAGTAGCGTCATTTTAACTAGTTCAGTTTAAGCCGATATTACATCGCGTCCTAGGACCTTGTCTGAATTATATGCAACTGAAATTTCATTGCATGGTTTAGAGAAGTGCGATAGACACTTTGTTAGTTGTAATTTCACTTTTGCCCATAGCTAATAAAAATCATTCTAATATTTATACAAGCAGCCAAAATCAGCATTCAGGATACAAAATATTTATTGCAGAAGTTAAATTATGATAAATTATTATAAATGTGCTATTTACCAAGAATGACCGTGCTAATATTTGATAATAATATTCAATATAAGTTCAATAAATTGAATTTTTGTCCATTTTTGATTACAGAAGATATATAATTAATAAGTAATATATGATTTTAGCATTGAATGCACTCCTGTTCGATTTTTAACTATCATTTATTGTAATTTTTCATGCTCATTTAGTCTTAGTTTCATTCTGTATTGTTCTTTATCTCGCTTTGAGATGAATCGATGCTTTCAAGAATTTTGATAAACTTCTTCCAGCAATAGTAATTGGATTCTATGATCATGGTTGTCAGACTTGTTGGATGACGGGTTTTAGATTCTCTTGTTTCTACCAGAGCTTCAATGTAATCATCCTTCTTCGACTCAGTCCAAACGTTGTAGATCGGGGTCGGAAAAGGTGTCATTGAGGACAATACGTAACTACAAAGTAATCTGCATAATCTACCATTGCCGTCACCAAATGGATGCACGTCCAAAAGCTCAAACAACAACCAACTACAGATCTTGAACATCACATAAACACGAACATTTGGATCTTTTTCTTCTTTTACGTGATATTTTATCAAACCATTGTGATTGTTCACATTACGTATACCTTTTTTCTATATCTTCTGGTTCGCATATCATATTCAACTCCTTTATACGTTGTGAAACGCCGATGTTCACTAATTTACCAGGCTCGGTTACATTCGGTTTCGTAACATCTTTCATGATCAGCTTGTGCGTTTTCTTCATCAAGTTTTGCTCTAACAACCCATGCACTTTCTCGACATCTTCGCTATCTTCGACTTTCTTCACTTCATCCAAAAGGAACTGGTAAGCTTCTCGTAAGTTCAAAGTTTCTATTCCTTTGATATCAGTTGGTCTCTCTGAGGTACTGCTTGCCTCGAAGCAAGATTCAATCTCTTCTTTAGTGTCGTATCCATGCTCTTCCTCGTTGTTCACATAATAGATAAAATCTATTAAAGATTTGTGAAGGACCTTGTCTAGCGTTTTCCTTGTTAAGATTCTTATACTCGCTCCAGAGATTTTGGTATTTTACGATACTTTCAATCATTTCGTTCACGGTAGGAACCTCTGCTCCCTTTGTACGCCATTTCGGCGACTCGTCAGCATCAAAATCAATTAAACTCGCGACTGTGGACATTATGGGACTTTAGTCTACAAAATTTATTAAATTGCTTTGTAGACTGATAAAGAGACAAGTTATATGGATTATTCATAATTGGACTTGTTGTTCTGGTGGCAATAATTGTGGTTCAAGTTGACAATAATTTGGATCCAGATAAACTGGAGGAGAAAACTGAGCTAAGCTATATTCCAATCACATTGTTTCCATTGTAAATATTTCTCTAGTACACGGCGATGTTTGGAACTTGTCTTTCCTTATAGTATGAATATTTTTCGAATTGAGCCTCCTGTCTTTTAATACTTAGCAGGTACTTAAGCGAATATTCAGAATATCCCATCCAGTAACGTTTTCTTCATTATTCGAAGTATTTTCAACGGGAAAAACATTGTTTTGCATGCGTCAACAAAATATGCTTTGCTATGCCTATGATTTTAAAATACTTGAAAGGCTTTTGATTCCAGGCGAGTATCCAAGACAAAGAACCTAATCTAGAAACAAAAGAAGTGCGATCTTACCTGCTGCGCTACCTTGTGATGCGACAATTCTTGAAAAATACTAGAAAAACGAAAATCTCGTCAGACTTCAAGTTAACTTTCCGCGAACAAGATTTATATATCATTCTAAATCCTGACTAAACATTCGCATTATTTAAAAACACCTGCAGCGTAAGATAAGGCAGGAAGATTGATTCGAAAGTTTATAGATTATATGAAATATGTTTTAACCTGCTGAAATTTGAAGTACTAATACGTAGTTATATAGCTTATTGATTATATGCATGCATGGTAATATGTATGGTTGGTAATATGTTTCCTCATTATACCAACCTTAATTCAAACGCCAATACCAAGCGAAAAACAACCAATGCGACAAACGTGTGACTGAGTAGGCATATAGTCAGCTGAAACAAACTCCCACGCGCGCGAAATCTGCGTGCCCGTATTCCGTCAGGGGCTTGGACATGAGTTTAAAAGAGGGTCGCGTTTCATTTTAAAAAGCCTCGATTTAATGTACAAAACATTTGAGTTAAGTCTTTGAGAAAATTTCCTGACTTCGAGAAGTTTTGGATTTTCATCATTTTCCGGTAACGTGAATAAAATTAAATTGTATTTTCGTAATATTCCTTGTAACGCCAGGAGTGATTTAGCACGTTACATGAACTGTGATTTGAAGTGAACTGCCCGTAGTGCCATGGCTTTTGCTGTGAGCATGTCATTGCCTCGCGCAGCGGACGAGTATCGGGAAAGTAAACAAATTAGTATACGAACTTCAACAGTATTGACCATTGAATAACCTCCCCCCATCCTACCCTAGCGTTATCCCATCGTATCCCCCGCCATCTTATCAAGAACTATTCGCGAGCTCGTAATTATGAAAACGTATAATCATGCATGGAATCACTTAGTCTGGTCACAAAACAAACAACAGCAACCTTTAATCTTGCAATGATTTCTAGCTTTGCTTCTGTGAAACATTACATGCCTACACAATAATTTATTAATACCAGTTCTCTGATGATAATATATTGATTCATTTGTAATAAAGCATTGCTATCATCACTGTTTGTCTGTTTCCATAAAATGACTCAGAAAATGTCAAAATATAGTTTAAAATAACTTATAATTATCATTACCACTAGCTGGTACTTGTTCTTCTAAATGAGTGACTGTTATTACTTATGCCCCTCGTTATTATTGCAAATGATTGACATTCTTTATGAGCAAACGTTACCAACGCGTAAATGGCAGTTTTACATAACGACTCACGACTTATAATTTCCTGTTGATGTCTTTGAAGTTTTGTCAATTTAAACTAGAAGCGTGTATTTATTTACCAATTTCAACTTGTTGATAAACGAAGGAAGCGTTTCGAGTTAGCACTTTATTACTAGTAAAACGCCGAAAGTCTAAAAGCTCTTGTGATTTTAATCACTTCATGCAGAAATGCAAGACGCCGTGAGGGGTTGATGAAAAACCCAGGCAATTTAGCTGTTTCAAGTGCACGGCTGCTGTTAACGTTAGTACTTACTGCATTCATGATTAAAAAAAAACTTTATTTTTAGCGGACGATAATAGGAGAATGTTTATCGAAGGTAATATGAAAACGTATATAAAAGTTTGAATCCGTTAAAATTTTAGCTTCTGAACATGTTATTTTCGAATACACCGTGTTAATACAAACTTTTAATATATTTCCATATTGTTTGTAGTTTCAATATTTCTCCAGAATTGAAGAAAATTAAACTAAACTTTGTGCGTGTTGATTATCGACTGCTTTCACATTAAGGTGGCTCCCTACAGTTTTAAGAATATTGGAAACTTGTGGTTTTGATTTAAAATTTTAGCACGAGATTTTTTGGTAAGGAAAAGAAATTTCCCAGATATATTAACCAACATTCTAACAGTCAGAAATTGCCCATAAGCATGACGTCATCACCGTTGTTATGGTAACAATGGCGATTCAATATGGCCGACATTTTACCTATTCACGCATTTTACTCGAAAACAAGTTCGGTTACCCCAATTTTTTATTTTATAAAAAGTTTTCTTAATAAAGAATGGGAAATTTGAGCAAGTTTAAAAAAATTGTATGGAGCCAAAAAATTTCTATAACGAAAAATCACGTTTTTTAATTTTTAATAATTTTGGCTCTATAGAATTTTTTTCAACTGGTTCATATTTTCTATTTTTTTGTAAGAAAACTCTTTATAAAATAAAAAATTGGGGTAACCGAACTTGTTTTCGAGTAAAATGCGTGAATAGGTAAAATGTCTGCCATATTGAATCGCCATTGTTACCATAACAACGGTAATGACGTCATGCTTATGGGCAATTTCTGACTGTTAGAATGTTGGTTAATATATCTGGAAAATTTCATTTCGTTTAGCAAGAAATATCCTGCCAAAAATTTCAATCTAAATCATTAGTTTTCAATATTCTTAAAACTGTAGGGAGCCACCTTAAATGGGGCTGGAAAAAAATGAAAATAAACGATAAACGAAGTGTGCAGTCGCTGCTATTGTGACAAGTCAAATGTAGAATGGTTGTAGTTCAATGGGTTTGTTATAAATAGCTACCAGTTGAGGGTTTATACGACGAACCGCATTATAATAAACTATTGAAAGTTATGATGAAGAATATTTTGGATCTAATAAGAGCAGGGGGGGAGGTAGCAAGTTAAAGTTGGCATTTAGTTGGGGGCTCAAACTTTCAAGGGCATTATTTCACACAAAAAACGACACCCTTAAAATTAATTTCTAATGGCAAAACAGTCGACCTAAAATTGAAGGTATCCCCTATAGCTAACCTACAGTGAAACATTTGGAATATTTCAATGCAACATTGCAAACATTTCCTCGTAACGTTCTTTGCGATTTGAAGTCTGACTTCGGAAGGCTGCGGCCTGTTCAAATTCAAATATCATTACGACAATAGACCCATCATTGAATTTATGTTATTTTATTGTTCTTGTTGAATCAGCCTGTCATCTAATTGTTATACACATGCATGTTATATACCATATTACACATAATAGAAGTAATTTTTAAGCGTTATTTCTAGTGGATTGCCCGGCGAAGTTCGTTCATTTTTAATACATACAAATATTTGCATAACATCTACTAGTAGGACAACAGTCACAACTGTTGCATGTCTTCTTCACTTGCTCTGGTTTTTCATTCAACTCAGATCGTTTTTCTGGCGCTCTGTTCTCGCTGCCCATGTCCCTGTCACGAAGCCACTCCTGCCATGATGGCTTACCATAGCACACATTCCATACGCACAATATAACGACCAAGCAAAGCATAGATCTGTTCCAGTTAGCCATGACCCAATTTACGAGCTAATTTACTGTGTGTTCGCAGTATACTTCAAGTCTTCAACGTCATGCAACTGTTGCTTATTTGAACCTCTGCAAGGCTCTTTTATATAATAGGTCGGGACACACCTTTTAGACTTTGTTTTGGGTTAAAAACGTCTGCCAATTGTATGTTTTAAGAGCGCCGGAACACATAAAGACCCCGCTAAAGAACGTTTTATAAGCAGCGATATTTACTTTGCACTTCAAAACGTAATTTCCCCGTCATTTTCAGGAGAAAGCCGTAACAGGCGTAATTAAGTAGCGTCATTTTAACTAGCTCAGTTTAAGCCGATATTTCATCGCGTCCTAGGACCTTGTCTGAATTATATGCAACTGAAATTTCATTGGTTTAGAGAAGTGCGATAGACACACTTTGTGAGTTGTAATTTCACTTTTGCCCATAGCTAATAAAAATCATTCTAATATTTATACAAGCAGCCAAAATCAACATTCAGAATACAAAATATTTATTGCGGAAGTTAAATTATGATAAATTATTATAAATGTGCTATTTACTAAGAATTATCGTGCTAATATTTGATGATAATATTCAATAAATTGATCTTTGTCCCTTTTTGATTACAGAGGATATACATATAATTAATAAGTAATATAATTTTAGCATTGAATGCACTCCTGTTCGATTTTTAACCATTATTTATTGTAATTTTTCATGCTCATTTAGTCTTAGTTTTCATTCTGTATTGTTCTTTATCTCGCTTTGAGATGAATCGATGCTTTCAAGAATTTTGATAAACTTCTTCCAGCAATAGTAATTGGATTCTATGATCATGGTTGTCAGACTTGTTGGATGACGGGTTTTAGATTCTCTTGTTTCTACCAGAGCTTCAATGTAATCATCCTTCTTCGACTCAGTCCAAACGTTGTAGATCGGGGTCGGAAAAGGTGTCATTGAGGACAATACGTAACTACAAAGTAATCTACATAATCTACCATTGCCGTCACCAAATGGATGCACGTCCAAAAGCTCAAACAACAACCAACTACAGATCTTGAACATCACATAAACACGGACATTTGGATCTTTTTCGTCTTTTACGTGATATTTCATCAAACCATTGTGATTGTTCACAATTACGTATACCTTTCTTTCTATATCTTCTGGTTTCGCATATTCATATTCAACTCCTTTATACGTTGTGAAACGCCGATGTTCACTATATTTACCAGGCTCGGTTACATTCGGTTTCGTAACATCCTTCATGATCAGCTTGTGCGTTTCCTTCATCAAGCTTTGCTCTAACAACCCATGCACTTTCTCAACATCTTCGCTCTCTTCGACATTCTTCACTTTATTCAAAAGGAACTGGTAAGCTTCTCGTAAGTTCAAAGTTTCTATTCCTTTGATATCAGGTGGTCGCTCTGAGGTATTGTTTGCCTCGAGACAAGATTCAATCTCTTCTTTAGTGTCGTATCCATGCTCTTCCTCGTTGTTCACATAATAGATAAAATCTATTAAAGATTTGTGAAGGACCTTGTCTAGCGTTTCCTTGTTAGTAGATTTCTTATACTCGCTCCAGCGATTTTGGTATTTTACGATATTTTCAATCATTTTTTTCACGGAAGGAACCTCTGCTCCCTTTGTACGCCATTTCGGCGACTCGTCGGCATCGAAATCAATTAAACTCGCGACTGTGGACATTATGGGACTTTAGTCTACAAAATTTATTAAATTGCTTAGTAGACTGATAAAGAGACAAGTTATAGGGATTATTCATAATTGGACTTGTTGTTCTGGTGGCAATAATTGTGGTTCAAGTTGACAATAATTTGGATCCGGATAAACTGGAGGAGAACTGCGCTAAGCTATATTTCAATCACATTGGAGTTTCCATTGTAAATATTCGAATTAAACCACCTGTCTTTTAATACGTGGCAGGTACTTCCCATCCAGTAACGTTTTCTTCATCATTTGAAGCCTTCATTCGAAGCCGTCATTCTCAACGGGAAAAACATTGTGTTATTTCCCTATGCCTATGATTTTAAAATACTTGAAAAGCAAGTATCCAAGACAAAGAACCTAATGTAAAAACAAAAGAAGTGCGCTACCTTGAACGTGCCTGCTGCGCTACCTTGTGATACGACAATACTTGAAAAATACAAGAAAAACGAAAATCTCGTCTGGCTTCAAGTTAAATTTCCGCGAACAAGATTTATATATCATTCTAAATCCTGACTAAACATTCGCATTATTTAAAAACACCTGCAGCGTATGATAAGACAGGGAGATTGATTCGAAAGTTTATAGATAATATGAAATACGTTTTAACCTTTAAAGTATTAATACGTAATTATATAGCTTATATCGATTATGTTGGTAATATGTTTCCTCGTTATACGAACCTTAATTCAAACGCCAATATACCAAGCGAAAAACAATCCAAGTTTTATGCGACAAACCTGTGACAAGGCATACAGTCAGCTGGAACAAACTCCCACGCGAAATCCGCGCGCCCGTATTCCGACAGGGGTTTGGACATGAGTTTAAAAGACGGTCACGTTTCACTTTGAAAAGCCTCAATTTAGTGTACAAAACATTAAAGAGTTACATCTCATCCTCGTCCCCAGGGCCTAGCTCCGTTGCTTTCCACATAGGAGAGGAACGGAGCTAGGCCCTGGGGACGAGGATGAGTTACATCTTTGAGAAAATTTCCCGACTTCAAGAAGTCTTGGATTTTCATCATTTTCTCGGTAACGTGAAATAAAATTAAATTGTATTTTCGTAATATTCCTTTTAACGCCAGGAGTTATTTAGCACGTTACATGAACTGTGATTTGAAGTGAACTGCCCGTAGTGCCATGGCTTTTGCTGTGAGCATGTCATTGCCTCGCGCAGCGGACGAGTATCGGGAAAGTAAACAAATTAGTTTACGAACTTCATCAGTATTGACTGTGCAACCTCTAATTAATTTGCGGTTCCTTTGTAGACAAAAAAACAATTTGTTTTAAAGTAACGGTCTTTTAGGTAAAGAAAAGAGAGAAATATCCTGTCATAGCTCACGATTCACCCTTTCCTGTAGATTAAACACAATGTCAAAAGTCGATTCTGCATATAGTATTTTTATTGATGATTAAACTTTTTTGATGATTATGTAGTTGAAATATAATCATCTTGAATATTTTATCTTTGGATCGCAAACTTCATCCGTATGTAGGTTTTTCTCGAAGGCTACCTTTTTCATCTATTTCTTTCTTGAAACAGTTATTCCTCGGTAAAACACTGCTCCAAAATTACTTTAAGAGTCGCGGTGCTACGACAAAACGCTTTGAGAATCATGCTTAAGACTAATTTAACGCATTTGTGATTAAGAGTGACGTGAACGCAATATTTTGCGTACCCGCGGCTGTAGTCTTGCAGTAAATTGGGAAGATTTAGGTGCATGTGCTTTGCCGTTTACTTACATCATTGTCGCATGCAAGACCATCTCTTTTTTGCCAGAAATTGGCGTGTTTTGTTGAATAGAACTGATTGGTTCGAACTAAAATTTTTTTAGGGAGTTTAAAGAAGTATAGCTTTGAATATGATGCTTTGATATGCTTAAAGAATTGCCTATAATTGATCTCATGAATGATCCCAAGACAGGGGACTTGATAAGTTCAAAGCCGTGTGCGTTTGGAGTGACTCGGTGTGATTTCAAATCATCATTTATAAGGTGCACTTTTTAAACAATCATTGACATTGTTATAATCTGCTTTACACTGGCTTTGAAATATCTATCTTTCTTCACACAGAGCATCTTTTTATTTAAAGCTGAATTCAACTGAATTAGCGAGAAAGTTCGAAAAAAATTTAAAATGGTCCACAAGAATTTTTCGATTTTCTTAATAATTTATACCGCGTTGCACCTCCCGCGCTCCGTTTTCACGGCTAAATTGATTAGACCACACTGCGGTATCCAAGAATAACTCCATCCATATAAAAACGAGCTTGTCGACAATGCTTGTCTAATATTCATGCCGCAGAGTGTGTATGTATTGTTGGTTAAAATCAGCGAATAATTTTCCATCGTGCTTTAACCTTTCTCAATAATTAATCAAGGACAGAATGTTAGAAGAAAACATTTAGTCGTGATGGCGTCGCACGTCAAAAAGCTCCGTAAAAAGAGTTCGCAACCTCAGGCTGGTTTTGATCTATTTGTTCATTTGTGTCAACCAAAGTAAGTAAAATCAACTCTAAAACATCTTTAACTTACTTAACGCACGTAATCAGAAAGATAGCGTGCTGTAATCGCTAGAACATTAAGACGGTTAACTTTTGACGAAGATTACTTTGTGGGTCCATCAAGGAGTTTGATTTTATGAAATCCTGTCCTCGCATTCAGGCAAAACTGTCTGGGTTTTCGTGTGTAATGAGCATTCATTAGCAGAATTTAGCAACAAATGCTTGAGAAATGCTCTAGGTATATCGTTTGAGACAGTAATGTCAAAGTTGAGAATATGATGGGGCGGAGATTGTCGGTAGTTGGCAGCGCTTGTTTGCCCACAAATTAAGTAGCTTCAGAATACTCATTTGTTGAACCTTTATTAAAACTTTCCGATAAATAACACGCGAGGACAGAAGAAACATATTAGTCTTCATGCTCTCCGCAAATAGATTTTTAGGTTAATTTTTAAAACCATACGATGACGAAATTTCAAATTGTGCTGACGACCTTCCTGTGTGAAGGATGACTCCCGCATGCTGAGCTGTTAGTGGGATACCTCTCAAGGTTCACTATACTGAGTTTATCAGACCTACACTAATAGCTTCCTACATAGCTCGTGACATGTTTAATCGTTAATGAAAACCCGTTCTCTCGAATGGCAAAGTGTTTTTGACTGTATAATCGCACTTCGTCTTATCCGATGGCCAGATAAGAGATATGTGTTTTCCCCAAACCGAACAGTAATTCTAAAACAGATAAAGAGAGGATAATTTAATTTAGACCTTTGCTTTGTGTTCGGCGAGTTATTAAAAGCCCTTGATAATTTCTAGTCAGTTATTCACAGGGGTTTTTTATTAAACTTGGCGAGCTATTGAAAATTAATTTGACCATAACAGGGATAATAAGACGGCATAGTGAGCTTTTCGTTCAAGGTGCTTACACGAATAAAGGTGGTTTATGGCTTTTTGAAATGAAATTCGATGTAGTTTGGCTATTATATACGCGTTGAAGACAAGTACATAGGTAAACTTTTTGGAAAAAGATAGCTCTCAACTTCTTAGCAAAACATGCAGATGAACGAAGTCGAAGGAATTGGATTTTTTTCATTAAATATATTTAAGTGGTAATAAATACAGTTATTGTTGAAAGAAAAACAACTGTTCATTATACTTTATACAACGATTACAGTGAAACCAATTCAGTACGTTGATTTCTCCCTCATTTTCAAACTTAAGGTTCACCTTAGGACTACCCTTAATCATGATTCTATTCGTGAAATTTGAGTTGAAATTTTCTGAAAATTGTCGTTAAAATATAGCATGAAAATCATGCAAGCAACCCATGCATATATATACTCTCGAAACACCCTCACCGTGACTCAAACGTTGGGGCAAACTTCATAATGAAGACCTATATTTAGACCTTAATTCCCATGAAAATTGTTTTTTTCAAAGATTTTCAAAAACATTCTTCGCCTTTTTACATTCACAAAGGCAACTAATATTTGATTGTATATCTGAATAATATGCTGTTTAATTCATATTGTGGGTCAATTAGCTTCGCAATTCTCAGTGAGCTGTGTCAAAATGTCACACAAAAGAAGCTTTTAGCCTGTACCATGCATGTACTTAAATATAGTACAAAGAAAGATGAAACCACTTCTGTATCAAAGATGCAAAAATGCCGGCACAAATCTCAAAGCTCACTCGTTCTCTTTAAGTGCAACATCAGTAGAAATTGTGTTTTGACTGATCAATAAGAGAGTCTTTTCCCAATAAATAATTCAATCTAAAACATTTAAAATCAAGCTTTTCCTCTTGTGAAAAAAGCGTAATGGAACCGCCATACAAGCTAAGCGACCGTATTTTTACAGTTTCTGAAGTGCATGGAACAACACGAAAGCACTGGAGTTTTACTCAGGAAAACTATTTGGTATTTCATAATTGTTTTATAAAAATACTCAAGGGAGACAACGTGACGTTTGTGCATTTTCATCTACTTGAAATGCTAAATTATCGAACATATTAGGGAAGAGAAAATTCTGGTCTTGACAACATCCATTATGAAAGATATATACACTGTGTGACTAACCGATTACACTCACAGTACTATAAATCAGTCGAACAAAAATGTTTCTTTATAAACTAAATAACTGAATAAACTCGTCCCTCTATAATTCGTTACAATGAATCTTTGAACCAGTTTTTTGTTGACCAAATTTGAAGAAAATTTATCCGAACAGCAAGGAAATGGTTGTGACAAAGCATTAACTTATATTCCTTGAATCGTCTCTTTATTATTAACAGCCTACGACATCGGTGCTTGAGGTAGGTTTAAGGAAACAGACATGCATAAGTCCCAAATAATATCATGTTTTGCTATGAAATATAAAAAAGAACTATATAATCTTTCCCATGAAAATCCAAAAAGTTATCGTTTGTGATCAATCCCTCTGTAATTTCTTAAAGAAGCTAACTGCTAATCCCTTCTGATAAGATTATGTTTTGCTATAACTAAAGTTCGACTCTTTCAGGCGAGAGCAAAAATTCCATATATGACACTGCTGATCATTATTGGCCGTTGAAGAACATCTCAGCCGGCAACATAAGCTTGGATTCAGTTAGTCGAAGTTTTGCGCATGCGAAGATTGAGAATGGTGCAAAGTTGAACAATACGAAGCTTTTTGGTCCAGCTCTGCTGTTAGACGGCGAAGATGATTGGATAAACCTAGGTTTGTATACGATTATTATTATAGACCGGAAGAGTGGAAGGTATATCTTGCAATATTGCTGAGACATGCAAGCGGTTTCCATCCCTAAAGTTTCTCATCTATAAAGACTAATATCATATTGGGAGGTTTTCATTTGTGAATCGCATGCGTTTTGAAGGCTTGAACAAACTTATGGAAGCTCTGAACAAGCTTTAATTTGTGAAACAACCTGCATGGCTAAAACTAGGACAAACTGAGTGTATCGCTATACTCGCTAGAAATCTCGTTTTCCATTTTCATCTTAGGAATCTTGGGTTCTGATTGCACGAACAGTCCGTCAAAATGTACTGACGGCTTCACCATCTCTTTCTGGTTATATTACGTCCGTGGTGAGTTTCTTCTCAGCACTGGTGAATATAACAGAGGCGATACAGGACCTGGAGTCATGTTTACCGTTCGAGATAAGTTATTCGTCATTGAGGTCTCCACGTTGTCGCATACCTGGAAGATTACATCAAAACTTATTGCTAAAAATTGGGTGCACGTGACTTTCCATTGGACCACAAATGAAGGTAACGTGCTATATTTTATTTGTACCATTGATTCATGTCTTGCTACCAAATGATTATTCTGTTTCATTATTTTAGGAATTCATTTGTTTCTCAACGGCAGCGCTGCGCAACAAAAGGTTTTTCAAAAGGAGAAAGTTTCATATCCAAAACCAGGAAGTGGTCTTGGCTGGAAGCTGGGGCGACCAAACATGCTCGCAAAGTTATCAGAATATGGTCAAATTGGCATCGCACATCTCGCTAAGTGGAAGGGAGAGCTCATGGCTGATGAAATAATAGCAGCGCTTTGTGAAACTATTTTGAAGGAGAAAAAAGAGATGGTTGAAAAAGAGCTAAAGTTGATGGAAAAAGCCCAGACAACTGGTAAGTTTTATGATAGATAAATCGTATATATATATATATATAATATATATATATATTATATATAATATATATATATAATATATATTAATAATATATATATATATAATATTTATATAGAATGAATCCATTAGGAGATACTTTCTTTATTTTGGTTTAGTTAAACCAGGGAAAACAGACAAACTCAAACCATCGAAAGATGCAAGGTCCACGGCCTCGCTCCTCTCAAGTTATCCTGTGAAACTGTGGGCAGTCATTTTAGCCTTGTGCGCGATTCTTTGGCTTTTCTGAAAGTTGTATTTTAAATAATTTATCCATAACGCACTCTTTAACGTAGTTAAACTGTACTTAACTCTAAAACAGCTCGAAGTCCAGACTAACTCGTTCGACTGGCTTAGATATAATCTTTCGCATGAAGCTCCTTGCTTAGTGAGAAAAAACCGGAAGAAATGGCTGAATCTGTATCATATATCTGGTCGGCCAAGCTTGTAAACTTCCTGCTAATAAATATAAATGTAAATAACAATAATTATAAACTAAGTTGTATCTGTTATAACTAGACTGAAAGTATAAATCGAGTATAAATAAAATTTAAATGATTTCTGTGCATGCTGCGATAGAATTGAAATAAATTATTGATGAACCATTGGCAATTTTAATGAATATTTTGCGCATTTCACAATCGCGTTTCATTGAAAGCGACCTGGTGGCGAGAGCAGCTGTTGCTAAGCAACCGTTATCATGGTGGACGAAAATATAAGAAAATGGCAAAATAAGTAAATTTGAGTGAAAAAAACAAGAAAATATCAAACTAAGAAAACTTTAATCCTTGCATTACTGGTAAGGGAAACTTACTCATGTTATAATATCTATGAATCTGAGCGTATTTTAAATATAAGCAAGGAATGAGGCTTGCAAAATATATTGTTTATATGAAGGCTGGTTGATGCAAAATCAAGCTGATATGGAAGAGAATCAAGAAGTTGTTTTAACTGCCCGTCGAACCGAGTCTATTGATGCTCCTGCGATAGAAAAATTGATCACCAGCGCCACATTTGAACTGTTTGGACGAGTTGATATCGTACGCGTAATGTATGTTATGATTTTCTTTGTATTCTCCGTAAAATTTTATTATTTAAAGAAACTCATAAACTAAATTTTGAATAAAAGCTTAGCTATTTTTGTTGATTCATTTCAGTGAGAAGGCGAACCTAGCCGTTAGTTTAGTGAGTTCAGAAGACGAGGTTGTTGCTAGTGGCGCATTTTTCGATTATCCAAATCTTTCCGTGGACCAGGCAAAATGGGAGAAATTATTTCAAGAAAGTTTCGAGTCTGTCAAGGCGACTGTAAGTTAAGAATTACGGAGAATTTATATTTTTTCCACTATTTACAACAATGCAATCAATGTACTGTTGACTTTTATCACTCAAATATGGACAACTGTGGATTTAAAACTCTTTTTGTTTCAGCCTTTAAACTCATTGTTCCTGAACTTTTTCACATCAAAACCTGACTATGTACAGGGTTGTGCCTCAGAGATTTTAAGGTAAATATCTTATTTCTACTATAGAATATTGTTCAATTTGCAAGCATTCTTTTATTGTACTGTACAGTACATTTGACCTTATATAATATTGCATATTTTATTCATAGGACAGTGTTTAATACTGCACCCTACATTGAATATATTTTCCTTGTTATTCCACCAAGTGCTCAAAAAGGTAAGATCTATGAATTTTTGATAAAAAGGTAATAAGAGATTATTTCATTAGAGTGTAGTATAGATCCCTAAGTCTTTCAGATTTGCACCAACCATGGTGGTGCCCGATCCAAGGCTTAATTCCCTCGATCCCAACTGCTTCCAGCTTTCTTCCCTCTGGATAGAACTTCCCACCATATGTTCAAGAATGTATTTTATCCTAATATTTAGTCTTCATGTATGTACCATGTTTTTCAGACCAACCATTAGAGAAGTTGTTCAATGTTGTCAAATGTAATGAAAATTTCAACAAGGAGGAACTCAATGGCACTGTTTATGTCTGCCATAGATTTGAACATTCGCCAAAGCTGCATATGAGAGCAGCAACGTAAGTATATTTACCTGTCACCTTTCACCTGCAGAATGTGGAAGAGATATCTCCCACTAATCTATTAATTGTGTTTCCTATTCTTAGTGTTGAGGATCATGATGACCTCATTCCTATATTTGATGAACAAAGTGAAACTTTAATCAATTCATATGGTATGAGCTTTAGCCATACAAAAAATTATTTATTACCACAGTAACAATTGGGAACATCTTCAAACCTAAGTTTGTGTGCAGAGTGCGAGGCTAAAATTGTTTATGAATGCATAAATCATAATTCTACTGTGTCCATAATCCTTGGATGTAATGGATTTCATTTTAGGGGATTTCTTTCTCAATGATCTCATTGAAGCTGAAGATGATGAGAACAAGTGTCTAGTGGCAGACGTAAGCAGAGATATATTGTATTCATGGCTGTCCAGCCAGTAGCAATGAAATATGTACTCATTTTGGTAGTATGCAATGAAAATATATAAATTGCAATGAAATGACATATTTCTCTTCCAGGTGAATGGAACAGCTGTTGGTTTTATGAGTATAAGCACAAATGTCAATGTGCAATTGTTGAGTGAATATTTGACCTCTCTCCTTTCAATGATTTAGAAAGCAATCATCCCTGGCATCTGGTGACAGTAATTCAAGTAAGCTGTTTTTGGAGTGAAATATTTATAGAAATAGTGCTTGAAAGACAAGGTATATATGTGTGGGTGATTGGTGTGATGCACACAGTGCTTTAGTATGGAGGTGCTATATGGTACAGTGTTTGAGGTAGTTATGTAGTTGTTGTAATTGATATTTTCCTCAATGGAGTTGTTTGCACTCAAATGGTTTTCTTTCAGGCCAAGAGAAAGCCAGTGTGTTTTGCGTTGAACTTTTCTGTATTGATGAAAAATACGAAGCCAGGTAAACTAGCTGATGAATTCGGTTGATTCTGGTGCTAATATTTAGGTCATAAACACAATTCTGGCCTGTACGTCAAACCCAGCTTCCCTGTTGAACGTATTCCAATACATTTTAGGTCGATGGATTTTCTTCCTGCTGCGTTTAAACTTTTCCCGGTGAGTAGATGATGAAGAATATCACCCATTAATCATCCAAAGTTATGTCCAACTGTTGCAGCAGTGAGATTGGAATGAAACTAAAACACAAACGTCTATGTTTCTTGCTAGGATAAAGATTACTGTGTCATCACGATGCCGCACATCGTTAACGAGTTTCCGTTGGTTCACGAATTTACGGTAAAGTTTGAATCTCGTGGATTTGATGAAGACCACCAACTGGTACCACAAGAAAAAGAAGACAGCTTGGGAGGTGGTTAACTGAACTTTAATTTCTTTCTTACAGAGGGTCACACCTAAAGTTGATGCAACGATTTCTCACGAACTCTACGTATTTCATCGCTGGGGTCTTCTTCGGTATGTCCTGGATTGCTTTTAGTTCGTTTGCGAGAGAAGTTACATCCTCATCGCTGCATGAGTTTGTTTTTCTTCCAGGACCATCAGCGTCAGGCCAGCAGTGTCTGACGATCTCACTGGGATAGAAAACATTGTTAAAGATGTTTCAGGTTCTGATTACATACTGAGGTGATTATATCTTGGTATATTACTCTGAATTCTCAAATATCGTGTCCAAATATCGTATCCAAATATCGTGTGCAAATATCGTGTGCAAATATCGTGTGCATTATACATAATATGAGTCCTTTTTTTACCTCCAATGCAGGGACATTGTACAGTACAACACAGCTCGCCGAGACAAGGTAAGTAGGAATCATTGCTCCTTGCGAGATTTTGTGTCTTTGTGAAGAAGTTTTAAGTAATCTTGTTCGCATGCCTTGCAGGATGGCCAGAAACTTCAGGTCTTCGTTGCAGAATGTACGAATCAAGTCATTGGCGTGGCTGTGTTAGTCAAGAAGAGGTATTTCAACGCCATCGTTGAATCAAACGGCTCAAAAGTTCTGCCATTTGATGTAATTTTGCATGCATATTAAGTTAACTTGGATCCTTGTTTATTTCTTCAGGACATTGAATTCATTCGCGCTCATTATGCTGTGGAGGATTTTATTTATTATAATTACCATCAACGAGAAGAACACTCTCATCTCTATCACTTCACTCTCAACCCGATCTTTCGTCATTATACCAGGCATTTCCTAAAGGTTTGTACTATATTTTTAATATTCCCAGCCTGGGCGCTGAGCTGGTCGATTACTGAGCGTTAAACACGACCCCAACATTCGCTTGTATTCCCCTGTCCAATCTAACCGTCTCCTGTAACTCATAATATACGTATCTTGGATGCCGTGAACCCTCCCTCACTTAACCTCACTCCAATACGAAGCCTCTCTAACGCGCGCCTACCACACCTATCCTCACTCTAATACGCACACTCCAACCTTAGTATACTTTCCGAAGTTCCTCCACTCTAATACTTCGTCTCTCTCTCTAACTCACACCCTCCACACCCACCCCTCTTTCTAACTATGCACAATCTTTCACCACTTCCTTATCACGTCATATTCCCTCTCTCTAACATCCTCTCTAATCTGCCCCTAATCTTATGCAATTGTTTAGGAAGTGCTTCGGTTATCTCACACGTCGTGTCTGTATTACGCCTTGTATCCAAAAAATGTGAGACCCAGCCTGTCGGTAAGCATCACTTCACATTTAACAATTGTACAATAAGCTTCAATGGTCGGGTATCCACTGACAACCATCATCGCTATCAGAAATTTCCATCACCTTCTGTATTCTATTCCGCTTTTTCCTCCAACACAGACTAACTTTACTTTAGGGCACGAAGTTATACTCCGTCATCTCATGTCTCAGTGATCTCGTCCCTGTGAGGTACAGTAGTAACTTTTGTAACACTTGATCTGTAACTATTGTCAAGACCTGCAAGCCATATCTTCATTTTTATCTTCAGAGGACGTCGTCAGATTATTTACCAACAAGACGTTCTTGGCATCAATGCTCCGTCTGAGAAAGTTTTGAAGAAAGAGGTGATTTTATAGTCGATTTGATGAAATTAGGTTTCAGAATATCGTCTTCCTCTTCTCACAGGAAATGATGTCTCTTAACTTCGTTTCAGGAGTACTATGCTTTGTACCATCTAAACAGAAAGTTAACGTTAGAACCAAAGGTAAAAATTGTGAAGTTTGTGCTGCTGACTGTTGTGTAAGAAATCCACCTCGCGTTCAGCCCTATCAGAATAGCTCATGTGTATTTATATGACAGGTGGTAATAAACGCAAGAATAGTTGTTGTTGGCGCCTCAGATACTGGCATTTCCTTCTTGGAAAGATTCTGTTTCTGGTAAGAAATGCTCTCCCATCTCTGAAGTTTTTGTTAAATATTTTCCTGGTCAGTTTTTTTTCTCACTTTTGCATGTCAATTTACCATCGTGATGATTCAATCTTTTTCTTACAGTCCACATCTTCACTTCAAAAACATTTCTCTCATATCACCACAAGGTCTTCCAACCGACGTGGGTAGCAATGGCGATGAGATGAGACCAAGCAGGTGCGAGATTTCTTTGTTTTTCTTTCTCTCCAG